CGGGGAAACAGAACGGAGCTGACTTGGGGAGCTTTAATCTCATTATACATCTTGATTTAATTAAACTTCGGGAAAGCTAGCTGAAGCTCTGCACGTTTCTCATCATTAGAAATTAATCGTAACTATTTTCGTGCCTGAATTATTGAGCAGGTCAAACGTGGTCCAATGGATGTTTACATCCATCTCCAGAAACACTTGGTTACTATTTTATTTTGCATCAAGGAAGTGTGGGACTTACAGTTGGGCAAACTGAGTTTAGAGAAGCAGATGGCGAAAACAGAAGAACGGCCTGCCTCAGGGGAGCATGCTTGCTCCATCAGTTTACCATTTATACAAACAATCAGCCACTATCAGAACAGTCAGAGAGTTTCGTCTATGCTGATGATCATGCCATCACCACCCAAGCAGAGATCTTTGAAACAGCTGAACAGAAGCTTGCTGAAGCTTTAGGTGCTCTTACTGCCCATTACAAGGAAACCAGCTGATTTCTAATCCATCTAAGTTTCATCTGTATCAACAGGAACGCCTCAGCAAGCAAGAGTCCAAAAGTGGCAGGCTAAAACCTGGAACCTCAATCCGGATGAGAGACTTCCTCCTGGGCACACAGAAGATTGGGTGATTTGGAAGGTGCTGAACAGACTGCACTCTGGCACCATGAGATGCAGAGCCAACCTTAAGAAATGGGGCCACAAAGGGGAGTCCACAACATGCGAGTGTGGAGAAGAGCAAGCCACGGACCACCAACTACAATGCTGTCTGAGCCTGCCACATACACAATGGAGGACCTTCTCATACCAATGCCAGAGGCACTCCAAGGGGCCAGATACTGCTCAAAGGACATTTAGCATAACGCCAAGTTTTTAACTTTGTTTGTGGTTTTTATACATTACTAGCCGTCCCCTGCCACGTGTTGCTGTGGCCCACATGGGGATTCTGTGTGGGAGGTTTGGCCCAATTCTAGCGTTGGTGAAGTTCAGAATGCTCTGTGATTGCAGGTGAACTATAAATCCCAGCAACTACAATTCCCAAATGTCAAGATTCTATTTTCCCCAAACTCCACCAGTGTTCACATTTGGGCATATTGAGTATTTGTGTAGAGTTTGGTCCAGATCCCTCATTTGAGTCCACAGTGCTCTCTGGATGTAGGTGAACTACAACTCCAAAACTGAAGGACACTGCCCATCAAACCCTTCTAGTATTTTCTGTTGGTCATGGGAGAACTGTGTGCCAAGTTTGGTTCAATTCCATCGTTGGTGGGGTTCAGAATGCTCTTTGATTGCAGGCGAACTATAAATCCCAGCAAGTACAACTCCCAAATGACAAAATCATTTTTTTTGAGTGAAGGACATACATTGGGTTGTTAGGTGTCTTGTGTCCAAATTTGGTGTCAATTTGTCCAGTGGTTTTTGAGTTCAGTTAATCCCACAAACGAACATTACATTTTTATTTATATAGATCAAGGAAGAGCGGTGGCCACGCTCCAGTGGGACTCACACTTGGGCAAATTGAGTTTAGAGAAGCAGATGGTGAAAACAAAAGAATGGGAGCATGCTTGCTCCATCAGTGTTTACCATTTATACAAACAATCAGCCACTGCCAGAACAGTCAGAGAGTTTCATCTATGCTAACGATCATGCCATCACCACCCAAGCAGAGAGCTTTGAAACCCATCACCGCCCAAGTAGGGAGCTTTGAAACAGCTGAACAGAAGCTTTCTGGAGCTTTAGGTGTTCTTACTGACTATTACAAGGAAATCAGCTGATTTCTAATCCATCTAAGTTTCATCTATGCTGACGATCATGCCATCACCACCCAAGCAGAGAGCTTTGAAACAAGTTGAACAGAAGCTTTCTGGAGCTTTAGGTGCTCTTACTGATTATTACAAAGAAACCAGCTGATTTCTAATGCATCTAATTTTCATCTATGCTGACAATCGTGCCATCACCACCCAAGCAGGGAGCTTTGAAACAGTTGAACAGAAGCTTTCTGAAGCTTTAGGTGCTCTTACTGACTATTACAAAGAAATCAGCAGATTTCTAATCCATCTCAGTTTCATCTATGCTGACGATCGTGCCACCACCGCCCAAGCAGGGAGCTTTGAAACAGTTGAACAGAAGCTTTCTTTGGGTGCTCTTACTGCCCATTACAAGGAAACCAGCTGATTTCTAATCCATCTAAGTTTCAAATATGCTGATGATCGTGCTATCACCGCCCAAGCAGGGAGCTTTGAAACTGCTGAACAGAAGCTTTCTGAAGCTTTAGTTGCTCTTACTGCCTATTACAAGGAAACCAGTTGATTCCTAATCTATCTAAAATGCAGATGTGTGCTTTTCACCTTAAGAACAGAAAAGCACCTCAAGCTCTGAGGATTACATGGGAAAGAATCCCACTGGAGCATTGCAGCACACCAAATAGCTGGGAGTCACTCTGTACTGTGCTCTGACTTACAAGGACTGCTTGATTATCAAGCAGAAACTGAGCGCTAGAAATGATATCATATGAAAGATGACTGGCACATCCTGGGGATCACAACTAGACACAGTGAAGGCATCTGTCCTTGCGCTTTGCTACTCTGCTGCTGAATATGTATGCCTAGTGTGGAACACATCTCACTACGATAAAACAGTGGATGTGCTTCTTAATGAGACATGCCGCATGATCCCAGGATGTCTCCACCCCACACCACTGGAGAAATTATACTGTTTAGCTGGCATTGCACCCCCTGACATCCGCCAATAATGAAAGGACAAGGCAGTGACATCTCCAGCCCATCCCCTGTTCAGATATCAGCCAGCATGCCAATGCCTCAAATCAAGAAATAGCTTTCTAAGATCAACAGAGATACTTGCAGGAACACCTCAGCAAGCAAGAGTCCAAAAGTGGCAGGCTAAAACCTGGAACCTCAATTCTGATGAGAGACTCCCTCCTGGGCACACAGAAGATTGGGTGATTTGGAAGGTGCTGAACAGACTGCGCTCTCTCACCATGAGATGCAGAGCCAACCTTAAGAAATGGGGCCACAAAGGGGAGTCCACGACATGCGAGTGTGGAGAAGAGCAAGCCACGGACCACCAACTACAATGCTGTCTGAGCCTGCCACATACACAATGGAGGACCTTCTCATACCAATGCCAGAGGCACTCCAATGGGCCAGCTCCTGGTCAAAGGATATTTAGCATAATGCCAAGTTTTTAACTTTGTTTGTGGTTTTAATACATTACTAGCCGTCCCCTGCCACGCGTTGCTGTGGCCCACATGGGGATTCTGTGTGGGAGGTTTGGCCCAATTCTATGTTGGTGGGTTCAGAATGCTCTGTGATTGTAGGTGAACTACAAATCCCAGCAACTACAACTCCCAAATGTCAAGATTCTATTTCCCCCAAACTCCACCAGTGTTCTCATTTGGGCATATTGAGTATTCGTGTAGACTTGGTCCAGATCCATCATTGTTTGAGTCCACAGTGCTCTCTGGATGTAGGTGAACTACAACTCCAAAACCAAAGGACATTGCCCACCAAACCCTTCCAGTATTTTCTGTTGGTCATGGGAGAACTGTGTGCCAAGTTTGGTTCAATTCCATTGTTGGTGGGGTTCAGAATGCTCTTTGATTGTAGGTGAACTATAAATCCCAGCAACTACAACTCCCAAATGTCAAGATTATATTTTCCCCAAACTCCACCAGTGTTCACATTTGGGCACATTGAGTATTCATGTAGAGCTTGGTCCAGATCCATCATTGTTTGATTCCACAGTGATCTCTGGATGTAGGTGAACTACAACTCCAAAGCCAAAGGACACTGCCCACCAAACCCTTCCAGTATTTTGTGTTGGTCATGGGAGAACTGTGTGCCAAGTTTGTTTCAATTCCATTATTGGTGAGGTTCAGAATGCTCTTTGATTGCAGGTGAACTATAAATCCCAGCAACTACAACTCCCAAATGACAAAATCATTTTTTTTGAGTGAAGGACATACATTGGGTTGTTAGGTGTCTAGTGTCTAAATTTGGTGTCAATTCGTCCAGTGGTTTTGGAGTTCTGTTAATATCACAAACGAACATTACATTTTTATTTATATCGATAACTGTGTTCTCAATTTTCTTCTGACGTGATAAATTTAAAAAGTTTCGATGAATGAGAGATGGATCCTGCCCTTATTCAAATCTCATTTGTACCCACGCGGCTGTGCAGAAGAGATCCCCAAGTGAGATTGTGCATACAATTGCTAAGCCATTTGCTAATGACATGGGGGGGAAATATGTTTCGAACCTGCCTTCATCCTAAATCTCATATAAAATGTTAAAAGTAGTATTAAAAACAACATTGCGGTGGCTCCTTTTTAAAAAACACATCATTAAAAAGTTTCACAAAAGTTTACAAGAAAGAGAAAAAGAAATGGGAAACCAGGGTGGAAAATAGTCCACGTAAAATGTTGAAATGTGTGCTCTGTAACTACACACTTTGTGGAAATCGTTGTAGCACAAAATAGTAGGGCTGGGCAACCACGGAAAAATTTGTTTCTAAACTCGATTCATTTTTAGGGGTTTTTTGCGTTTCGATTTTTAAAAGAATTCCGAAATTTTTCTTTAAAAAAGTTCGAAATTTACGAAATTTCGGAAATTATGAAACAATAACGAAACAATAACGAATCGATTCGTTAATGGCGGACGCGACCGCGCAATACGCTAAAAAAACCTCCAAATGGGACAGGGGGAACTTCTGAAGCTTCCGTCTTCCTCTGTTGTTGATTGTTGGTGTGATAATTATATATTTTTTTTCACTGATAAAACAAACAACAATTATAAAACTTGCACCAGACATGCGGAAATAATAACGAAACGATTTCGAAACAATTACGAAACAATTTTTAGTTGCTCCTGAATGGTTCAATGTCGCTTCGTTAACAAAAAAAAAAATAACGAATTAATAACGAATTACGAAATTAACGAACGAAACCGCCCAGCCCTACAAAATAGCACTATCAAAGACTGAAAACTCAAATAGTTGGCTTTGTAGAGTTTTATTTTAAAATCCATTTTTGAAAATTTTTAGTGAAATCCCTACAATAATTTTGCAAATCCCTAGCGTTCCCCTAGGAGTCCCTGGTGGTGCAACCGTTGAGCTGCTGAATTGCTGACCAAAAGGTTGGTGGTTCAAATCCGGGGAGTGGGGTGAGCTCCCACTGTTAGCCCCAGCTTCTGCCATCCTAGCAGTTTGAAAACATGCAATAGATCAATACTTCTGTGGGAAAGTAACAACGCTCCATGCAGTCATGCCCGTGGCCACATGACCTTGGAGGTGTCTATGGACAACGCCGGCTCTTCGGCTTAGAAATGGAGATGGGCACCACCTCACAGAGTTGGACACGATTAGACATAATACAAAGGGGAAACCTTTTTAAGGGTTCCCCAGAATGCAGTAGGAAAAAGAAGCGGAAGCAACAAGCCAGTGGTGTCTGAAGACTGCTCTACCAAACCAGAATCTTGAGTAGAATGCCCCTGTTAGTAATTCAAAGCAACGAAATCACAGTAGGTTCATATAGGCCCCATAAACAGGTTCCGCACACCCTGGAGGTAGGAATATGTCTTGGGCTCACAACCCTTCTCTGCACATCCAGCATCGGTAGAGATGTGGCGTCTACAACCACCAACCATCCTGAAGAAAGGAGTCACAAACAGAATTGTATCTGGGATGTTAGAACTCATTAAAAACCTGCACATCAATGGCAGTGTCCATACCAGTGGCATCTGCGAACCAGTCTCACATTCCCTTGACAAATAATGTTACTGACACAGACACTTAAAAATCGTCACAGTAATTACGAAGTAAACATGAACCAGTGTATCATCCCATTTCAAAAAAAATCCAAGCCGTTTTGTTAACGCGTAGGATTTTCTACCACAACCAGAGCAAATCTATGTCGTTTTTTTATGTCTCGCAAGTTTGTAAACGTGGAATGTTTTGTTATGAAATACTTTCGTGAAATACGTTGTATATGGAGGCAGGTTTCTTTTGATTTCCTCACAGAAGCGAGGATATGGTGACGGTTTCAGATCAGGATCATTTTCCCCAGGACCATCCATAATCTGCAAAAGAAACGACAATTGTGTTGATATCACATTACAATGTAATAAAGGAATGCTTGTTGCGTCTCAGATTAAGCTTCACCTTGCTCTCCAACACCACCAGACCACGGCTGTAAGAATGATAGTTTATTGTAAAGTTTCCAAAAGAAGGCAAAGGTTAAGTCAATACAAAGTTCCAAAGTTCAGGTAAAATGCATGGTACAGTTCCAGAAATCCTTAAGAGAAAATCAAGGTAAACAAGGGCCAGGAAGCACAATCTCTGTGCCAAGCAATTGAGCCCAAAAGCAGCACGAAGAAACCCAGGCTCCCAGCCTCCTTTCTTCCAATGCAGGAGCATGAAACTGCTAGCAGAAAGCCACGTTGAAACTGACAGCTGTGAATTGCCAGTGAAAGCCCTAAATACATTTTGCACATCAAAACAATCTATTTTCCCACAATCTACCTTCCCACTGCTCCCTTGACCTGATGCTGATGTAACTTGGCTGCGATCTGCGAGCTCCGTCTCACAGTTTCGTTATCCATTTGAAGCCGCACCTGGCCCTCCTCCTTATCAGCTGCATTCCTGTCCTGTGAGAACTGCTTTCCCAACTCGACTGCAGGCTGAGAAAACAGTGGCTCAGAAAACTGAAACCCATCAGGAAACTGAAACCCATCAGGCTGCTCAGGAGCCTGTTGAACCACAACACTAGGAGGCTTTTCTTTGTAGTAAAATAATATAGTTGCACTACAATAACAAGGTTTCCACGACATAAATAAAGTTCTTTATACTTCATTCTTTGCTTCTATGCTGGGCTTCTTTCTCTTGCAGATAAACAGCTTCGCTCTCACAGAACCTCTTCTCACACCAAACATACACAAGGGCTTCACACAGTAGCTTTTTCCACACAACAGCTTTCACGATGGCCTTCAACCTGGGACTTCTCTTACTGAAGCTTCCCATACCAGGCCTACTCACACTGAGGCCTACTAACACTGAAGCCTTTCTCCCACTGAGGCCTTCTCATACAGAGGGCTCTCTCACACTGAGGCGAAGTAACAATTAGACCTTCTCATACTGATCTCTTCCTTAGGAGGCTTTTCTTCATAGTAAAATAATATAGTTGCACTACAATAACAAGGTTACCACAACATAAATAAAGTCCTTTTACTTCCTTCTTTGGCTTCTATGCTGGGCTTCTTCCTCATGCACGTAAAATAGCTTCTCTCTCACAGAGCCTCCTCTCACACCAAACTTACACAGGGGCTTCACACAGTAGCTTTTTACACACAGCAGCCTTCACACACGATGGCCTTCAACCTGGGGCTTGTCTCACTGAATCTTCTCATACCAGGCCTACTCACACTGAGGCCTACTAACACTGAAGCCTTTCTCCCACTGAGGCCTTCTCACACAGAGGGCTCTCTCACACTGAGGCGAACTAACAATGAGACCTTCTCATACTGATCTCTTCCTTAGGAGCCTTTTCTTTGTAGTAAAATAATATAGTTGCACTACAGTAACAAAGCTTCCACAACATAAAGTCCTTTATACTTCCTTCTTTGGCTTCTATGCTGGGCTTCTTCCTCATGCACATAAAACAGCTTCACTCTCACAGAGCCTCCTCTTACACTGAAGTTACACTAGAGCTTCACACAGTAACTTTTTACATACAGCAGCTTTGATACTGGAGCTTTACACATGAGGCCTTCAACCTGGAGCTTCTCTCACCAGGCCTTCTCACACTGAGGCCTTCTCATAGACTAAGGCAGGCATGGGCAAACTTTGGCTCTCCAGGCATTTTGGACTCCAATACCCACAATTCCTAACAGCTAGAAGGTCGATGTTTGTTCATCCCTGGACTAAGGCCTACCTCTCAGTATGAGGCCTATTTCACAGACTGAGATCTTTCTCCCACTCAGGTTTACCTCAGACTGATGGCTACTAAGATACAGACACACCTACTTATAGAACTGCAGCTTTTGCTGAGTCATTGCATCCATTTAACCCTTTCCATTTAACTCACATTTTTGAAATTAAAAATACCTAGTTAATTTTTAATATTTTTGACAAATTTCTCTATTCTCTGTGAAATAAAAAAAAACCCCTTATACACTATTATTAAAGGGCATTGCAACAGAGGGACATACTACAAAGGTCATTTTCCTCTTCATGTGAGATTTATATATATACTAGCTGTACCTGCCACGCGTTGCTGTGGCCAACCTTCCCTCCCTCTTTCTCTCCTTCTTTCTTTCTCTCATTCCTTCCCTCCCTCTTTCCTTCCTTCTTTTTCTTTCCCTTATTCTTCCTTCCTTCTCTACCTGTTTCTTTTCTCACTTCCTTTGCTCTTTGGTTCCTTCCTTCCTTTCCTCCCTCCCTCCCTCTTTCTCTCTTTCATTCCTTCTCTCCTTCCTTCCCTTTCACTTATTTCATTCTCTCCCTCCTTCTCTCCTTCCTTCCTTCTATACCCTTCTTTCTCTCCTTCCCTCCTTCTTTCCCTCTTTCTCTCCCTCCTTCTCTTCCTTACTTCTCTACCTTTCTTTCTTTCCTTCTCTCCTTCTTTCTCCCCCTCTCCTTCCTTCCTTCTCTACCCTTCTTTCCTTCTTTATCTGCTTCCCTCCTTCCTTCCTTCTCTACCCTTTTTTCTTTCCTTCCATCTCTCCTTCCCTCTTTCTCTCCCACCTTCTCTCCTTCCTTCCTTCTCTACCCTTCTTTTTTCCTTCCTTCTCTCCTTCTTTCCCTTCTTCTCTCCCTCTTTCCTTCTCTCCCTTTCTTTCCTTCTTTCTCTCCTTCCCTCCTTCTTTCCCTTCACCTCTCCCTCCTTCTCTACCCTTCTTTCTTTCCTTCTCTCCTTCCTTCCTTCTTTGTGTGCATATGCATATATGTGTGCATATGTGTGTGTATATATATGTGGTTTTGCGCATGCATTATAATGTGGCTTTTTTGGCTTTTTAAGTCTCTTCTGCTGTGTTTTTCAGTGTTTTTATGAATGATGGTCACTCATTGGCCTGAGAGGTGTCTTGTGTCCAAATTTGGTGTCAATTTGTCCAGTGGTTTTTGAGCTCTGTTAATCCCACAAACAAACATTACATTTTTATTTATATAGATATATATATAATATTGTATATACATATAATATTTATAATATTATAATGTAATACAGTATAATACTAACAATAATATATTATAATTATATATCTATTATGTTACTTGTAATATTACTAATAATATTACAATATAATGGTATAGTACAATGTAGTCATATATAATACTGATGTTGTACTATGCTAATGAGATATTATATTGTATGTCTATATATCTTGCAAGCCGCTCCGAGTCCCCTTCGGGGTGAGAAGGGCGGCATAGAAATGTCGTAAATAAATAAATAAACTAATTTCTGGTGGCATGAATGAAAAAGCATGCACTTGCCTGGCCCTCTTGATTGTGTCCCTGTTGTTGCACATGTCAAGTTAGGTGCAACTGGAATTAACCCTTTCCTAAATGACCCCCTTTCCTCCTGAATGAGCCTGGGAGATACTTACGTGGCCATTTGCAATGTCAAGAAGGTCCCGCAGTCGGCAGCCCCTGCTGTGCCTTCTTTCGTAACAAATGCTGTCCTCCAGGATTACAAAGTCCGTCCCAAATGACCTGAGGATTCTGTGGACATCTTCAGGAGATCTTTTTGCATACACTTGATACACCTACAGCGGGCAGAATACTGTAACTCAACTAGGACTGATAATCATTTTGCAAAACAACAGAGCAAAGGACTTTGTACCCCATCCTACCAGTTCCCAGTGACCAACCACATGAGAAGGTCACAACAAATATCTTCCATTCACATTCTCTAGCAATGACCGCTGACAGATGCACTGCCTTCCGATACTGCAAGCAATATGGCCACCACCAGGATTTATTTATTTGTTTGTGTGCCGTCCGCCCAGACGATATAAAAAATAAAACTGCAACGTGCTTCTCTCTCTCTGCCTGAGCGAACTGCAGGTGTCTCTATTGAGAAGCTTGAGATACTCATAAACTGAGACTATTACTGGTTTAAACATCAAAAAAGAATATTTATTTATTCAAAGCCCTTGAAGACTTGGCACAGTTCATCAAAGTTGCAAACAAACAGTCAATAGATGAAACTACAAAAATATTTTTTCTTTTCTTTAGTTACAGAGGTAACTTTTTCTCCAGATGGCAGATAAGATCCTGGAATCTTAACACCCTAACCTTAAGCTGTTGTGGTTTCGAAAAAAAGCAGTTCCCCCCCCCCCCCCCATCTATAACTTAAGGTTAGTTCTGGAGACAAAGCAGTTACGACTCTCTCTCTATAACTATATAAGTCAACCTTCTCAATTAAGCTTATCTGTCTATAATATCTCAAAAACAGCTCAAAACACAATATACTATCTGTAGCTCAATATAGCTTACTCAGTTTAGTTTTTGCAATGGTTCTCCCAGAGCTAACTGCCTGGTCATCAGCACGCCTGAAGTCTTTCCTCAAACTGAAAAGGCAGGGGAGAATCTAAAATGGAGATCTTTCCCTGGGAGAAAAGGCGGTCCCTAAACTCAAAGAGCTGCTCTCTAAGCCAATAATTGTAAAGAGGCCTGCAGACTCTGATACTATTAACCTTTAGGACTCTTGCAAAGCTGCAGCAGCCCTGGGAGAAAATGCAAGAGGAAGCAAGCTCAAGCAACTCTAAAGTAAGGCAAATCAGGCTCCTGGGAGACGGAACAGTTTGTTTCAGATTATGACACCAAACAGAAAAGTGGAGTAGTAGCAATATATGTGCCAAGGACATTTACCCCTGTGATTTAAATTAAGTGTTAAAGAAGCAAAAGGGAGATAGATAGATATAGATATATCTCATTGTGAAGGTCTCCTGCTACCTCCAAGCCAGGCTGAGGACTTGGAGCAAATGACTGCCCTTTCAGAAAGAACAGTTTTTAGTATGAATGAGAGACTTCAACTCTTCTGATATTTCTTTGAAGTCAGACCTTCGCAGAATCATAGAATCCTAGAGTTGGAAGACAGTGGGACATCCAGTCCAACCCCATTCTGCCAAAAAGCACCCCCAACAGATGGCCATCCAGCCTATGTTTAAGAGCCTCCAAAGAAGGAGCCTCCACCACACTCCAGGGCAGGGAGTTCCACTGCTGAACAGCTCTCACGGTCAGGAAGTTCTTCCTTTTAAGCAGAGGCTAGATGGCCATCTGTCGGGGGTGCTTTGAATGCAATTTTCTTGCTTCTTGGCAGAATAAGGTTGGACTGGTTGGCCCATGAGGTCTCTTCCAACTCTAGGATTCTAGGATTCTACATGGGATTGCAACATTGACGATCCATACGTTGTTTTTTTCCACTATTGTGAGGTGGGCTGAGAAGGGCGGTATAGAAATCTAGTAAATAAATAAACAGGGCTCTCAATCTCGCCTTCATCACAATCACGTTAGGCAGGGATGAGAGACAGGGCCTTCTCTGTGGTGGCCCCTCGGCTATGGACCGCCCTCCCTAAAGAGATTAGATTGGCTCCCTCACTCTTAACGTTTCAGAAACAAGTTAAGACATGGTTATATGAGCAAGTGTTTACAAATGCAGAGTAACTGACATAGGAAATGCTCGTGCTGGGGGACTTCAATGTCCACGCCGAGGCTGCCCTAACGGGAGCGGCTCAGGACTTCATGTCTACCATGGCAACCATGGGGCTGTCCCAACAAGTATCTGGCCCCACCCACAGTGCTGGACATACCTTGGACTTGGTTTTCTGTCAGGGATGGGAGGAAGGTGGCGGTGTTGAGGAGTTATCCATCTCTCCGTTGCCATGGACCGACCACCACCTGGTCAGCTTTAGACTTACTGCGCCCCCTAACCTCCGCAGAGGTGGAGGACCCATTAAATTGGTCCGCCCCAGGAGGCTTATGGATCCGGATGGATTCCTGACGGCTCTTGGGGGATTTCCCGCCACCTCGGTTGGTGATCTGTTGATGCCCTTGTCGCTCTCTGGAATGGGGAGATGACTAGGGCAATAGACACGATCGCTCCAGAACGTCCCCTCTCAAGTAGCCGAACTAAACCAGCCCCTTGGTTCACGGAGGAGCTGGCGGTGTTGAAGCGAAAGAAGAGGGAACTAGAGAGCGTGTGGCGTTCGGATCCGAGCGAGCCAAACCGAACACGGTTTGTGTCCTTTTTAAGGTCATATGCCGCGGCAATAAGGGCCGCCAAGAAAACTTTCTTCGCGGCCACTATTGCGTCTGCGAAGAACCGTCCGGCTGAACTGTTCCGAGTTGTCAGAGGCCTTTTAAAACCCACCATTCCGGATGGGTGCCCTGATGATGCGGCAGCTCGCTGTGAAGCTTTTGCTCGGTTCTTCACAGACAAAGTCGCTTTGATCCGTTCTGGACTGGATGTCACATTAACGGCAGTCTCTGAGGATGTAACACGAGCATCTGCTTGTCCGATTTCGTTGGATTCATTTCAATTGGTTCAAACTGAGGATGTGGACAAGGTGCTTGGAGGAATGAGAGCTACCACATGCATCCTAGACCCCTGCCCATCCTGGCTTCTAAAAGAGGCCAGAGGGGGATTGGCCGAGTGGGTGAAGGTGGTGGTTAATGCCTCCCTTCGGGAAGGCATTTTTCCAGCCAGCTTAAAGCAAGCTGTGATAAAACCGCTGTTGAAGAAGCCATCACTGGACCCCACTCAATTGGTAAACTATCGGCCTGTTTCCAATCTTCCCTTTTTGGGCAAAGTCATGGAACGTGTGGTGGCCTCACAACTCCAGGCATTCTTGGTAGACACGGATTATCTAGATCCGGCACAGTCTGGCTTTAGGCCGGGACATGGTACCGAGACAGCCTTGGTCGCCTTAGTGGATGATCTCCGTCGGGAGCTCGACAGGGGGAGTGTGTCCCTGTTGGTGCTGCTCGACCTCTCAGCGGCCTTCGATACCGTCGACCACGGTATCCTTCTGGGACGCCTCGCGGGAATGGGTCTCGGAGGTACTGCTTTGCAGTGGCTCCGGTCATTCCTCGAGGGTCGGTCCCAGAAGGTGTACTGGGAGACTCCTGTTCAACCCCACAACCGTTGTCTTGTGGAGTTCATCAGGGTTCAATACTGTCTCCCATGTTGTTTAACATCTACATGAAGCCGCTGGGAGAGATCATCCAGTTTCAGGGTGCGGTGTCATCTGTACGCAGATGATGTCCAACTCTGTCACTCCTTCCACCTGCTACTAAGGAGGCTGTTGAGGTCCTGAACCGGTGCTTGGCCGCTGTGACGGTCTGGATGAGGGCGAATAAATTGAAATTGAATCCAGACAAGACAGAGGTACTCCTGGTTAGTCGTAAGGCCGAACAGGGTATAGGATTACAGCCTGTGTTAGACGGGGTCGCACTCCCCCTGAAGACACAGGTTCGCAGTTTGGGTGTGATCCTGGATTCATCGCTGAGCCTGGAACCCCAGGTTTCGGCGGTGACCAGGGGAGCATTTGCACAACTAAAACTTGTGCGCCAGCTGCGCCCGTACCTTGGGAAGTCTGACTTGGCCACGGTAGTCCACGCTCTGGTTACATCCCGTCTTGATTACTGCAACGCTCTCTACGTGGGGTTGCCTTTGAAGACGGCCCGGAAGCTCCAATTGGTCCAACGGGCGGCAGCCATGGTACTAACAGGGGCTGGGCGCAGGGAGCGCACAACTCCTCTGCTGTACCAGCTCCACTGGCTACCGATTAGCTACCGAGCCCAATTCAAAGTGCTGGTTTTGACCTTTAAAGCCCTAAACGGTTCTGGCCCTACGTACCTATCCGAACGTATCTCGGCCTATCAGCCCACCAGGACCCTAAGATCTTCAGGAGAAGCCCTTCTCTCTATTCCACCTGCTTCACAGGTGCGGCTTGTGGGAACGAGAGATAGGGCCTTTTCTGTGGTGGCCCCCCGGCTTTGGAATGCCCTCCCGATTGAGTTAAGATCAGCCACCTCGCTAATGGCATTTCGGAAAAAACTAAAAACTTGGATATTCGAGCAAGTCTTCAATTAATTTTGATGTGAAGTGTTTGACCATGGACTAGCAATCAAGGACAACGAATTGGATTACGATTTTAATTATGAGATGTTCCGATCTGTATTGGTGGCCCAATACTATGTATGTTACTGTATGCATTTTTAATTTTTAATCTTATATGTTTTTATTTAATTGTATATTTTAACATGTTGTAAACCGCAATGAGTCGCCGCACTGGCTGAGATATTGGCGGTATACAAGCGCACCAAATAAATAAATAAATAAATAAATAAATATAGGAAATGGAGTGACTTGACAATGAAATTTGGACAACGTTTTTAACTAGGAGACGCTGATGATAATTGATATTGGTTTCATTGTTTTTATTATGGCTTTGTATTGCTTTAATGCGTAATATGTATTTTGCTATTATGTGTACTGACTTGTTGTAAACCGCCTTGAAAGGTGGTATACAAGCATAGTATAGTCAGCCCATTGTATGCTAATCAAGGTGGTCAGTTGAAACCTTCCCACCTAGCTCCAGCACACAAGAGTCCTTTGTCCCACACTGGCCTTTCCACAGATAAACAAACCCTTTTTCCTAGTTCCAAGAGACCTCACTACCTCTGAGGATGCTTGCCATAGATGCAGGCGAAACGTCAGGAGAGAATGCCTCTAGACCATGGCCATACAGCCCGAAAAAACCCACAACAACCCAATAAAAAAATAAATAATACAGGCAAACCCTTCCTGAAAGCTGTTTTGTCTACATCACTGTGCTTAAAAGTATTATTGCACTGCTTTAATTGTGCTTTTAGCTACATAAGAATGCATTTTAATTACAAAAAGGACCAAGCCTGGATATCAGATGTGCGGTCAACCATTGTTGGCATCATTGTGAGAAGGGGATGGGAAGGCCTGAGCCATCTTACCTGCTTTGTCCGTTCTCTCAGGCTTTTGTTTTCGTAATGGGGGTGGTTGGTCAAAACCCGGCCCGTACACAGTTTGACGCCTGCTAAGAGTTGCATGCTTCCACCAATCACTGCTTTCTTGGGGGTGTTGCTCCTGAACAAATGTAAGCATAATTTCACAATAGTATTAATGTAAGTAATGGGCTGGGAGTCTTCCCAAGAGAGGCCATCCATTTCAACAGCCTTGTGAAAGGAAAACATGATACCATACATGGCAAGGAACTGCCGTCTCCATTTATGGCTCATCAGTAACCTCACATAGGTGAGGTTTCACCTATGAATACTACGAGGGTTGAATGAAAGTAATGCCTCCACCTTTGTAACCCAACAGATGGCAGTACTGGTATGTGGCAGGTATTGGCTTGTTCAGTAGACTCTCCTCTACAGTTCCATTTTGGCAGGAAGCCTTAGCACTGAACGGTTGTGTTGTTAAAGTGCGAAGTATGGAACCCTGCGTAGATGGTCAGTCAATGCGACTTAAGCAATGTTTGTTGCAGGTACTGGTTTGTTCAGTAGACTCTCCTCTACAGTTCCATTTTGGCAGGAAGCTTTAGCATGGATCAGTTGTGTTGTTAAAGTGCGAAGTATGGAACCTTGCACAGACGGTCAGTCAATGCGACTTAGGCAACGTATGAGGCAGGTACTGGCTTGTTCAGTAGACTCTCCTCTACAGTTCCATTTTGGCAGGAAGCCTTAGCATTGAATGGTTGGGTTGTTAAAGTGCGAAGTATGGAACCCTGCGCAGTTGGTCAGTCAATGCGACTTAAGCAACGTATGCGGCAGGAACTGGTTTGTTCAGTAGACTCTCCTCTACAGTTCCATTTTGGCAGCAAGCTTTAGCATGGAACGATTGTGTTGTTAAAGTGCGAAGTATGGAACCCTGTGCAGATGGTCAGTCAATGCGACTTAAGCAATGTATGCAGCAGGTACTGGCTTATTCATTAGACTCTCCTCTACAGTTCCATTTTGGCAGCAAGCTTTAGCATTGAACGGTTGTTTTGTTAAAGTGCGAAGTATGGAACCCTGCACAGATGGTCAGTCAATGCGACTTAAGCAACGTATGCGGCAGGTACTGGCTTGTTCAGTAGACTCTCCTCTACAGTTCCATTTTGTCAGGAAGCCCTAGCATTGAACAGTTGTGTTGTTAAAAGTGCAAAGTATGGAACCCTTCATGTTTTCCAAAGGGTATTAAACAGGCTGTTTGAAAATACCCGTGTCAGAGCAACTTCCAGCTGAGTCACAATGGTGATGATGATAACAATGATGATGATGATGATGATGATGATGATGATAATGGGGGTGCTGTGTGTTTTCCAAGTTGTATGGCTGTGTTCTAGCAGTGTTTTCTACTGATGTTTCACCTGCATTTGGAGATGAAATGTCAGGAGAAAACACTGCTCGAACACACAACAACCAACACTACCCCAGTGATTTTGGCCGTGAAAGCCTTCAACAATAATAATGGAATTCTAAAACAATTGCAGAAAGCTCACAGTCTGTTTCAAACTAAATTGTGCAGGGTTGTTTTTTGTGTGTGTACGTGAACATGCCTGTAGAGCAGAGGTCCTCAAACTAAGGCCCAAGGGTCAGATACGGCCCTCCAAGGTCATTTACCCGGCCCTCACTCAGGGTCAACATAAGTCTGAAATGACTTGAAAGCACACAACAACAACAACAAAAACAACAACAATCCTATCTCATCAGCTAAAAGCAGGCCCACACTTCCCATTGAAATACTAATAAGTTTATATTTGTTAAAATTGTTCTTTCTTTTAATTATTGTATTGTTTTTAAGTGTTTTTTGCACTACAAATAAGATATGTGCAGTGTGCATAGGAATTCATTCATGTTTTTTTCAAATTATAATCCGGACCTCCAACTGTTGTAGTAGAGTGTGCTGAGCAAGCTACAATGAGTAGTAGAAGGGCAAAGAGGGCTGCTCAGGTGTTGGATCAAGAGCAGCAAAGGAAGCGAATTAGGGAAATATTCATGACACCTACAGATACTGAGTCATTCAAAGGGTTCACAGATTCTGAGATGGAGGAGGAGGGAGAGCAATGTAGAGGTTTGAAGCGGGTTACTTGGGATCAAGAGTCAGATGAAGAGAGAGAAAGGAAGCGGATCCGTGAAATACTTAATGCTCCGACTGAGGAGGAAGACTTCATGGGGTTCACGGAGAGTGATGGGAATGGGAGTGATGACGGAGAGGAGGATGGATTAGATTGGACCCATGTACAAGAGATCAGGGACATATGTACCCAACCCACATCAAGTGAGGAGTTTGAAGGGTTTTCGGGAGACTGGCAACCTGGAAATACATGGGGTGATCTAAGTCTTGATAGACGCTGGAGAAGTTGGAGGGATGGGCGGTGGCGAGCCGCTATGGAAGCAAAGGCACCTGAGAGTGATGAAGACAGGGTGGAGTCAAGCTCATCATCCGATAATGAGTTATAGGATAAAAGTAAGGTATCAAACTATTGGAACTTTGCAGTAGGCAAAGTGTTGTATCTGGCTTTGGACTTTGTTGCCACCATTACTTTTGCTTTGGGTCCTGGGACTGCAGATCGTTGTGTTTCCGTGTTCCTATCGACTGGAATCCTGTAAGTGCTGACTTCTACCTTCCTGCTGACTTCGGATTGTTTTTGGACGACGACATCGTGTTTTGGACTTCTACTTCAACTTTTGGACGTGTTTTGACTCTGGACTATTTCCTGACTTTGTCTTTGCTTGCTCCCACCTTGCTATGTTGTGTTTTATGAACTCTGTGTTTTTGAAGCAGTTTACTTAAAGTTTTTGTTATCCTGGATTATATCTCTGTATAATCCGGATTATTCTCCAAATTGCGTTTTTTGCTTAGCAGTTGCTACAGACTTTGCTTTATTGCTAGACTCACTGAATTCAAGTGTTTCTAAGCTATTTTTGTTTATTAATAATCCTTGTTTGGACCTTTTACTTGTGTTTGGCTCCTTTAAGGCTTCTGGTTCACGACACCAACAGTTTGCAACTGCGAAGCAAAAAACGGCGGTGGTCAGGGAAGCTTTTGCACAACTTAAACTTGTGCGCCAGCTGCGCCCGTAACTTGGGAAGTCTGACTTGGCCACAGTAGTCCACGCTTTGGTTACATCCCACTTAGATTACTGCAACGCTCTCTACGTGGGGTTGCCTCTGAAGACTGCCCGGAAGCTGCAGCTAGTCCAACGCACGGCAGCCAGATTACTAACGGGTGCTGGGTACAGGGAGCACACCACTCCTCTGTTACGCCAGCTCCACTGGCTGCCAATTAGCTTCCGAGCACAATTCAAAGTGCTGGTGTTAACCTATAAAGCCCTAAACCACTCCGGCCCTGTTTACCTCTCCGAATGTATTCTCCCCTATGAACCATCAAGATTGTTAAGATCGTCTGGAGAGGCCCTGCTCTCGGTCCCACCGGCCGCACAGGCGTGCCTGGTGAGGACGAGGGACAGGGCCTTCTCGGTGGTGGCCCCTCGACTCTGGAACTCTCTTCCACCGGAGGTCAGAACCGCCCTGTCTATCCTGACATTTAGGAAACGGGTGAAGACATGGTTGTGGAGACAGGCTTTCGATGAATGAGACAACACCCTAGGATTTTGGATGGAAGATGATGTATATTTGATTTTAACATGACGACTGACCACCGTAGTTTTAAATATATTGTTATTTTAAATGTGTTACTGTAATTGTGAACTATGATATTTTACTGATTGTATGTGTTTTTATGGTTGGAAACCAGGCTGAGTCCCTCAATGAGGTGAGAAGGTCGGTATAGAAAACTTTGAAATAAATAAACAAATAAATAAATTGAGGGACTGTGACCTGGCCCTCTGTTTAAAGAGTTTGAGAACTTACATGATTGTAGTGGGTTGATATGACAACTCCATTTGCAACAGGAGAATAAGGTGGAGGAAATGCCAAGAAAGATAAGCGGTCTTAGACTGAGACCACTCCAAAAAATAAAATAAAGCTGACTGCACAAACCGCTGTCTAAACTTAAGCTGCACCTGCTAATACGACTGCATACTATTTAAGACGGCTATGAATTTCCATTCATGTCTTTCTGATCAAATTTTGAAAAACGTTAAGCGACAACCATAAACGCTTGCCACAGCCCTAAAGGAGATAATCTTGTGAATGCTACATACATGCCACGAGCATTTCTTAAAACTTCTTACAAGGCCAGGCTAATCTCATAAACGGACAGTGGAGATAATATTTTGAGCGAACCGTTTCTTTCCCCCCTTTTGAAAGGAAGCCATCAGCTTCTCTTTGGCTTTTAAGGCAAGCTTCTTTTGAAAAATCTCTTTGCTCCAGTTTAATATTTTATAATTATATTTAAAATATTCAAAGTCACAAATACCATGAAATCTCAGCATATGGAGCAGTACAAGAACTTAATGTTATGCTGGTGTAATCACATCTCTCCGACAGCCAGAAGCAGAAGCTGAATTCCGGCGTTGCATGAGCGCTCGTCCTCGTCTGAGCCGAAAAGAGCCCTGTAAAAAGCCAATTCATATGCTACACAACTGACCTGGAAAAGGACTTTCTCTTCTGCTCTTTCCATTTCCCTTGTAATGTAGGATTTTGTGCTCACGGTAAGAATGGATTCTAAAACAAGTGCCATTATTTTATTCCTTTGCTGTCTGCATCTATGGCTTCAAAGGAGGGCATTGATAAGGCCTCCCATTTTCTCATCATTATTTCCTGTGCTCTTGGAACCCTGGAACCTTGAATCTTTGGACTGGCTTTTGACTATGGTATAGACCCTTGATCCCTGGACTTTGTTTATTGAACTTTCGGCGTTTGACCACTGGATTGGATCTTTTGACTGCAGAGTTATCTTGAACCTGCAACAGTGTTTGCTGTTTTCATTTTATATTCTGTGGCTGAGTGCAATCTTTACATTTTATATTTTGGACTATTAAAACAGCCAGACAGTAAGTGCTGCTTTAATTAATTTTTTTGGTTCACCTCTGCCGGAATAATGACAGAGCCCTGGCTTCATGACACAAAGCAAAGCTATTGGGAATCAGCCTGTGTTTGTGTTTCAGGATCTTGATATGGGAAATGATGAGGGAA